GGAAACTTTCCAGTTGCTCCAGAGTCCATCCTTGCAATCCCACATTCATTCTTCTATTAGAAACATTTGCAGTTCTTTAACTTGGGGGGAGAGGGGAAGACTGACACACATCAGAGTGTGCACATTTCCTTGAATAACCAATTTCTTCCTCTCCTAGTTAGGACAGTGTTTGCAACAAAACATCAGGATGGCTATTTTTGCTTAGGCCCACATGTGATAGAGAAATCATAATTCTCAGCATTCCTAAATCTCAAGTATTCCTGCAAGTGTGAAATCTATCCTAACCATGTACTTTCTTCTCACAAAGAAATACTGGTGAAAATGTCCTGTACATTCAATTACTGACAGAAATCTTGAGTAATGCAATAATTTCCTCCAGAAGCCTTTGTGGTTAAAAGCCACCCTGCCTCTAAGGATAGTCTTGTATTCTTGTTCTTATGTCAGTGCTACCCCAGCCCCCAAAACAGTAATCACTAACACTGGTGTCCAATAATAGGAGGGTTTTGAAAAACAAGTAGACACAGAGAGGAGCAAACACAAGAGCCTCTTTCAACTCTGAAAATGTTAAATCACATGGTGCTGCTCACTGACATGGTTTCATCTTCTCACCCAACTTCTGTGATGGTTTCACAACCCTGGCAAACTGACAAACAAACCTGTGTAACAGGAGCAGAAACTAACAGAACTTGATGTATCTGTGAGTATCTGGGGAGTTGGCTAGTTCTGCACAACCGCAGTTTTCTTTTTGTCTCTGGAAATTCCCCTCTCCCTGATTATAGGCCCAAGATAAACTCACTTTTTTGGAACAATTTGCACTTCCCTGGATTCAGTTGCAGATTGGCAGCTTCAAGCCTATTACAGACCATTCATAAGTATATTAGTTCCTCGAAGCATGCGCTAAGATATCGTGTAGGCATAACGTAAAGGCTATGAGACATATGCTATGTAATACTCTTGCCATTAGCCTTTCAAATGTGCCTGCTCCTGCTCACTGACTTATTCATTTCCAAATAATACCCAGGCCCCTTCTTTTGCTTTCAGGTTGACTGGCCTGAATTTTGGGTGGTGGTTCCTAATGTTGCAACTTTTTTACTTTCATTAATTCTTACATTTAGTCTGACTTTGGGGTATCCATCATGGCTACCAGCTTTAACAAAGCTTCTCTCGACTTCCATCATCATAACATTATTAACCTAAAAGGCAGAGAGTTAGGCACCCTGTTTTTGTCACTAGGTTTGGATGCTAGTTTCAACATGCCTCAGTCCTATGAATATCACAATACTATCTGAGTACCATGAAAGCCAAACAGAAGCCACTTACAATGATCACCTCTGGCCTGAACTGCCACATACAGTAACAGCACAAGGAAAAAAAGCCTCTTAGTCTGCCCTGGCTGCAGGAA